CAATTGTAAGAAAGACCGTTTGAGACAAAGGTTTCTGTGAATGTGTGACACACAATCCTCTCTTGCTTATTATAGCAGGAGTAGGAGCTCTGGTCTTGGTCCTTGTTAAGCCATGAGAGTTGATAGAGGCCGTGTCCTTCGGTGCGTTACAGCAGAGGCTAAGGACAAGCTGATTCACAGGTCTAAAATTAGATGCAATATACTGGTCCATGTTCGCCATCCAGGGGAAGTCCTGCTCTTATTTAGAGAAGCAGGTTTAAGCTTCTAGCCCTCACTTACAATGTGCCATGTCTTGATCAGACAAGACATGTTGGTCAAATGTACAGCCGAGTAGGAAAGGAGAGCGCTAGAACTCTTTTCAAAGAAGCAAATAAGGCTGAGTAGTTTGTTATTTAGGAACTGGTGTTCCTCAAAGACTCCAAAGTTCCATCAATAAAAAAGACATAAATATGCCAAATACTTCATTTGGTACGTATAAGAGCCATGCTGTTCTATAACAAGAGAATATGCATATTTCTCCTGAATACAGACTCGGTTGTGGATTATTGGGAACAACTATTTAAATCAGTAAGAAATGATCAGTTAATCGGAAGCTAAATCGAATTGTCCAGTGAACTGTGTCAACTCCCAAACATTCGGTCCTAAATTTATGCACTCTCTACTTCCACAGTAGTTAAACTCAAATGAACAGTCTGATACAGTGGTCCTGGAAAGTTTGTGAACCTTTTAGTCCTAAATGTAGACAACGAGAACCCAATTAAACACATGGGACAAAAAATATTATACTTGGCCACTGATTTATTGAGGAAAATTATCCAATATTACATACAGCGCCATCCACTAATATTGGTACCCTTGGTAAATATGAATAAAGTCTGTGAAAATTTATCTTGACTGTGTAGACTTTTGATCTTTTATTTTATTTATTTTTTTATATCACAAAAACACTCTGCTCTGATGGATATCAAACAATAGCAAACACAACACAGGTTTATCAAAAATAAATCTTTGCTAGATATAGTTGTTATAGTATATAGTAGTAGAGCTTCAGAAAATGGGGAGTGGCTATAAGACAACAGCACAAGCACTGAAAATACCCATTTCCACCATCAGGGCAATAATTAAGAGGTTTCAGTCAACTGAAAATGTTATTAATCAACCTGGAATTGGACGTGTGTCTATATCGTCTCAACGCACTGTGAAGAGGACGGTTCGAGTGGGCAAAAAATCTCCAAGGATCCCAGCTAGCGAACTGCAGAGTTGTACTGAGGAATGGGGTCAAATTCGTCCAAGCCGATGTGCAAGACTGATCAACAGTTACCAGAAACATTTAGTTGCAGTTGTTACTGCACAAGGGGGTCACACCAGGTCCACATACATTTGTGAAAAATCTGATGATGTATTAGACCATATGTATGCAGAAATTTCTAAAGGGTTCACACACAACGGTTCAAACACAAATCGCATGTGAACGTGTTTTTTTTCATTGGGTGGTCTGCCACAAATAGAGGTCAGGTTAAGTAAATGTACAAATAACTCCACTATGACAACAGCAAACCTTTTGTTTGTGATCTTATTTTTAATACACTTTAATATTGATTGCATGACTGGCCAAACTTGGTGCTGAGGCATCATGTGCCAAAACATACTTCAACATGATACCCTGTTCATGCCATGCAGTATACATATACCATCAGAATGTAAAATACTATTCTGAGCAGCTGGGCTTTACAGAGGTGTGGAGTTTCATGGTTTTCATCAAGCCGAGACAGCTGCTGAGGTTTTATTAGACGGAGATCCACTTTGCTTGAATAGATCTGTAGTGGATGTTTTGTTGAACCAGATATGATTTTATTGAAACGCAATTGTACAGTTCAACACTTACTACAAACCATCTTAACTGCCAATGATATAAACGATAAGCTCATGAAGTTTGTTGTTTTGGCTTTAAGGGCTGTGGACTGCAAAGAGGACACTTTTATTAAACAGTCCCCTCCAAAAGTATTGGATCATCCAAGTCAATTCTATTGTTTTTGCTACATGCTGAAGATATTTGGGTTTGATGAAAGATGAATAAATGTTAAGCAACTTAGAACATGGCATCTTTTTTTTTTGTCCACCCACATTTATGTGACTGTTGGAAGAGATAGGTTCAAATAAATGACACTTAATATTTGGTTGCATATCCCTTGCTTTGCAATAATTGCATCAAGCCAGTAATCCACTGACATCATTTTGGCAGACAGAATGTTTCTGTAGACTTCCGAATTCATTCTGCTGCTACCATCAAGAGTTACATCATCAATAAAGATTAGTGTGCCTGTTCCAGAAGCAGCCATGTACGCCAAAGCCATGACACTACCTCTACTGTGCTTGACCGATGAGTTTGTATGTTTTGGCTAATAAGCAGATCCGTTGTTTCTCCACACTTTGGCTTTTCCATCACTTTGGTAAAGGTTAATCTTGGTTCCAGAACTTTTAGTTCCACATCTCTGTATTTCTTTGTGAATTCCAATACGGCCGTCTGATTTTTACTACTGATGAGTGGTTTGCATCTTGTGCTTCTTCGAATGATGGATTGTGATACTTTCACCCTTGCTCCATTGAGGTGGTTGGTGATGTCACTGACTGTTGGTTTCTTCACAGCTCTCACAAAGTTTCTGTCATCATCAACTGCTATTGTTTGATATTTGGTTGTTAGTATACCAGTAGTTTCTTGGTTTTCAGGACAATAAAATTGTTGTGTTGGCTATGCCCAATGTTTTTTAATGGCCCTGATCGCTTTTTTCTTCTTTTCTCAGCTGCAAAATGGCTCACTTTTTACCCATACACAGCTCTCTGGTCAGCAAATGCAGTCTTCACAGGTAAAAACCAAGGGCTCAATCCAAGAGTAGACAGTCAGTTCTATAAACAATCAATCGAACATGCACTCCTGGGCAACAAGAACCACCTGTCAGTCAGACGTTCCAATATTTTTGAACACTTGAAAAATGGGTGGGTTCAGACAAAATAGGATGTTTAACACATTTAGATATAAATATCAGGAAATGTGAGGTGAAATTCTGATATCTTTTGAGCTCAAACCCAAATGTATTCACCGTATAGCAGCATCAAAAGACTTGGTCTTGCCTCTCTAATACTTTTGAAGCAGATTATATTTTGTCTTCCGTCTTGAAGAAAATATAATGGCTTTGGTAATGAAATACATCATGGTATGTCCGTGTCCTCTTAAACTGTCACTGATAGAACATGAGATCTTATACCTTCATAGCTGTCTGGTTATGTTCATTTGATTTACCGAGTTATTGAGTATGTTAAGACCGTAGAAACATGAATGGTTATCTGTCATAGAAAGAAAAAAAAAATCTGCTATGCAACACAACAAAATGATATTGTTTTTAGGGGAAATCTCATAGTAGATTTAGTAGGATTTTTTTTTATATATATATAAATGAATGACAGATATCCAAAATGTTTCTTGTTTGTCTTTGGATTGTGCAGTTCCTATTTAGTTAGTGGTTAGTTGGAAATTTCTGTCTGAGCGAAAAGACATACTATAGTTTGGTTTATCTGGGAACTTGTTGCACCCTTTATTGTGTTGTGGATTTTTTTTGAATGGATATAATTGCCCTATAATTGTTAAAACTTTACCAAACCAGAAGCAGTGGGTGAATAAAATCATCCACGAGGCTCTGAGATCTCGCACCGCTGCTTATAACGTGGGGCTCACCACCGGGAATATGGTTGAGTACAAGGCTGCGCCCTACAATATGGCAGAGTGGTGAAGGGGGCGCTAAGGTGCTTTGGGAGGAAACTAGAGTTACAGTTCCACCAGGGTGGCTCTAGAAGCCTGCGGCAGGGACTGAGAATGATAATGGACTATAAAACACAATCCTCCAGAACAGTGAATGCAGATGTTTCTTTACTTTCGGGAGAGTGAACATCAGGAAGGCAGCAGGACCAGATGGTATCTCAGGTCTTGTCCTTGTCTACTGACCAGCTTGCACCAGATTTCATGGAGATATTCAAACTTCCCTTGGCAGAGTGGGTAATCCTCTCATGCTTCAAATAGTCCATTATCATCCCTGTCCCAAAGAAACCCCAGCCTGGCTGCCTCAATAATCCTACCCCCTTAGCCCTGACCTAGCTTGTGATGAAGTGCCTTGAAAGGCTAGTCAGAGACTTCATCATATCTTCATTACCTGACACTTTGGACCAATTACAATTCACATAACATCCCATAACATATACTTCCTACTGTACACACAGCCCTGAGCCATCTGGACATCAGGAACGGAAATTATGTTAAAATTCTCTTTGTTGACTACAGTTCTGCGCTTAACACTATAATTCCTCCAAACTCACCACCAAGTTGGAGGACCTGGGAATAAGCTCGTCCCTGTGTCAGTGGATCTCCTATTTGACACGTATTGTTTCGTTACCATGCTACCTGTCAAGGGGTCGGATATATTAGGCGAATGAGCAGTCAGTTCTCAAAGTTGATGTGTTGGATGCAGGAAAAATGGGCAAGCATAAGGATCTAAGCAAGTATGGAAAGGGCCAAATTGTGATGGCTAGACGACTAGATCTCCAACACAGCAGATCTTGTTGAGTGTTCCTGGTATGCAATGATTAGTACCCACCAAAAGTGGTCCAAAGAAGGATAACTCGTAATCCGGCCAAGACTCATTGATGCGCATGGGGAGCTGATTGATGCTGATTCGATCCCACAGAAGAACTAACGTAACCCAATTTGCTACAAACGTTAATGCTGGCTTTGATTTAAAAAAAAAAAAAGTGTCAGAACACACAATGCATCGCAGCTTGCTGTGTATGGGGCTGCATACCCGCAGGCTGGTCAGATTGTCCATGCTGACCCCTGGACCATGGAGCACTGGAAGAAGATGACCTGGTCTGCTGAATCACCTTTTCTTTTACATCAAGTACCACCTACCTAAACATTATTGCCGATCAAGTACAGGCTTTGCTCAAGGCAAGCTTGGCAGTGGTGAGATTTGAACTCACAACCTTCCGGTCATTAATCCAATGTCTTAACCACTTTCCCAATGTAGCAAAACAATCATTAATGAATAAATGAAGATACAATAAATACTACAAAACAAACAAACAAACAAACAAAAAATTGACTATCCAATTCTAATTTCACTATCAATTCACTAGTTATGTTCGTACATTTCTGGGCTTATTATATTTTAATGCAATATAATGAGCCCACTGTACTGTACAGCTATTGTTTTAAATCTGGACCCTAGCAACTATCTCCAGCTGATGGTGGAATCAGTGTTGACCCCTGGCCACATAGCACGTGCAGGCATGTGTGTCGGCAGCTGTATGGAAACATGAGGCGTGCTGTAGTCTATTCCTGGCCTTACATGGCTTGTCTCATTCTCACCCTGCAAAAATAGTCTGCCTCTTGAACGTCCAACAGCAAACCAACAAAGTTTGTCGTTGCTGTTGACTATTCCTACCGACAACTAAACGAAGAACTGTGTGTCTGGATATGAGGTTTAGGAGACTTCTTTGAAGCAACACAAAAAAAAAATGTTGTTTTTTTTGGTAAACACTTTATTCCCATTGAATTATCCACTGGAAATAAAATTTTACAGTAGTTAATAAGTCAACTGCATAGTTTCAAGTATTCAAACATTTTGACAGACACACTAAAACTAAATTTTAGCAGCTGTATTCTACAGCTAACAAATCTAGCTTTGACTTAACAATCCTATCAAATGTAATATTCAGGTGCAAACCTTGTCATCTACACTAAATATAACAGAAATAATTCAATATGGACATTCGTATAAATACAAAAGTATAAAAGTCAAGTGGAAAGTGGAAATGGTGCAATTTGTCATGTAAAAAAACTGCTTTTAAGATTGCACACACTCATCACAGTTTTCAAAAGCAGCTATTTTGTGTTCCTGTGCTGATCAAGGCTCTTTATTTCTTCATCTACCCTTTCACCATAAAAAAGTATTTGGATCAAACAAAGTTCTTCACTGCTTATTCCTCTTCTTCCCCTTCTGCCACATCATATTCCTCCTCTTCCACCTCCTCATCATCATCTGCACCAAAGTCCATTTTTGCAAGCATGGCCTCTGCTTCTTCAGTAAACAGTGTGAGGTGGTCCATCCTCTCAAAGCCAAGCTCTGGCCTTTGTAATTGGGAGATTTGGGCTGTGTCCTTGGCTTCTGCAATAAGCTTTTTGGCATTGATGAGGAACTCAGCTATGTTGCTGTTGTCAAAACTTTGGGTCGCTTGGTCCATCAGCTTACTGCTAGCCTCCAACTGTTCTTTGTATTGCTGAATTAGAGATTGCACCACTGCTGTCTTCTCATCTTGCTCCTGCGTGATCTGCTCTAGCAGGTAGGCCTTACGCTCTTCCATGACTGCATAGAGTAAGTCAAACTTCTCTCCTAATCCCTGCTTCTGCAGTTGGCTGTTCTCCTCCACAGCCTTGCAGATGTCCTCCATTTGCACTAGCATGGCCTGCACAGAGTCGTTGCTAGCTGCAAGCAACTCAGTTGAGTTTTGTAACTCAGCCTTCTGGGTTTCATAGACACTCTTCAGGGTAGTTACTTTGCAGTCCTTGTGCTGGCCAAATACCTTGCACATGGAGCATGTAGGGACCTGGCAGGAAATACAGTAGATGTTGATGTGTTCATCTGCATGCTCCTGGCACATTGGTGCTTTTGTATCCTTGGCTTTCAAAGGAGGCTCAAGACAATCACCACCACTGTTCTCCAGCTGTTGCTTGTAGATGTCAATTATGTTCTCCACAAGCAGATTCCTCTGAAGCCCATAGACTCCATGGCGGTCCAGCACCACCTCAAAGCGGCAGGTTGGGCAGCGGAAGATTCCTCCCGAGAAGTGGTAGGGGTTGCGAGAGTCATAGAGGTCATAAGCACAGCCACGGCATAGATTATGCTGGCAGGGCAGAATGACCACCGGCTTGGTGAACATGTCCAGGCAGATGGGGCAGCTCAGCTGCTTCTCCAGGTTCTCCATAGGACCTACGGCCCTCACTACTTGGCCTGTCTGAATGTCCATGTCTATAGGTATCCTAGTCCTTTTATCCTTTCACTGGTTCCTTGCTACAGTGCGTGTAAAGCTCTCCTGGGTGTCTCTGTTCTTGTCAAGGTTTATTTTGATCTACTGGTCCAAGAGGCCACCCTCTTAGCTTATATACCATCCAGCTGGTTGTGTTATTTGATCCAGGGGGTGGCTGTGTCAAGATTCCATCCTCCACTTGTTTGTGAAGCTTGATTCGGAGAAGACATGCGACCTCTTGACATAACCCAATTCGGTAGTCACATGCCAAACTTAGAATACCCCCCCCCACACACACACACACACACACCCCCCCCAACCCAACCCCGTCCACCCTCCATACCCATGTGACCAATGACAGAGCTCCATTGGTTGCTCAACAACATGTCAGGTGAAGCTGTACATAACTCCGGTTTGTTTACAGCTTATTTTGCATCTATTCATCGAGCTTTGTTATTGCTTCATCATATCAAGTTACCATATACCATATGACCACTTTTGTGTCCACCAATGAGCTTCAAATGTTCTCAAAGTTGGTTCTCCTTAAGTAAAGCATATTTGAAAGATTCTAGTAATGTTCCTGGTTATCCCTCTGTTGTGAATACACTGTTGCTCAATACTACCACTACCTCTTTGTAAATAGACATGTGTACCACTTCCACCGCACTGCCCCTGGAAACTGCTTATGCAACTTTCCTCTGAAAGAAAAGTCAAGTCTATCAAAATAACAGGTGTTGTCCATGATGTTATCATGCTAACAGGTTGGAACATGGTACTGGATGTCACACCTTTTCGCGAGATGTAAATATTGCATGGAGAGATAAACAGTCTGGCCCTGATTTTTTTCAGCACATGAAATCAGTCAAGTTAAACGTATACAAATTTGGTTTTATTTTATTAACATATAAAAAGGGGTGAGTTATTAAAGCGGTGCTTGAAAGTATTTTATTGAAAGAATTTACTATATATCTGCATAAATACGAGCATCAGATTTTCTGTCGCTTTTTTATCAGATGTTCATCAGAAGGATTAAAAGTAGAGAAAGAGAACCCAATGAAATTATTTAGACAAAAATATTCTTAAATAACTTTTATTTTATGTAAGAAAAAATATTAGTAAAAATAAAAGTAGATTTATTGAGAAAAATATTATAGCTTGAATGTGAAATTAGAGCCAATATTTTTCAGCGAATGGGATGACAATCAGGTGTGAATGAGAACGCTGGTTTTATTTAAAGAGCAGGGCTCTATGAAAGTCTGATCTTCACAACACATGTTTTGTGGAAGTGTATCAGGGCACAAACAAATGAGATTTCTGAGGACCTCAATGGCTAATGTTGAGGTTCATGAGTCCACCATCAGGAGAACACTGAACGACAGTGGTGTGCATGGCAGGTTTTCAAGGAGAACGTCATTGCTCTCCGAAAAGAACATTGCTGCCCATCTGCAGTTTGCTCAACATCACATGGACATGCCAGAAGACAATGGGGAAAACGTTTTGTGGACGGATAAGACCAACATAGAAATTTTTGGCTTAAATTAGAACCATTATGTTTAGAGAAAGGAAAACACTGCATTTGAGCATAAGAACCTTATCCCATCTGTGAAATATTGTGGTGTAGTATCATGGTTTGAACCTGTTTTGCTGCATCTGTGCCAGGACAGTTTGCCATCATTGATGGAACAATGAATTATGAATGATACCAGCGAATTCTAAAGGAAGAGATTAGGATATTTGTCCGTGAACTGAATCTCAAGAGAAAGTGGGTCATGCAGCAAGTCCACAACCCTAAGCACACAAGTCGTTCTACCAAAGAACGGTTAAAGAAGAATAAAGTTAATGTTTTGGAACGGCCAAGTCAAAGTCCTGACCTTAATTCAATCGAAATGTTGTGGAAGGTCCTGAAGCAATCATTTTATGTGAGGAAACCCATCAACATCCCCGAGTTGAAGCTGTTCTGTACTGAGGAACGGGCTAAAACTCCTCCAAGCCGACGTACAGGACCGATCAACAGTTACAGGAAACGTTTAGTTGCAGTTATTGGTGCACAAGGGGGTCGCACCAGATACTGCAAGCAAAGGTTCACATACTTTTGCCACTCACAGATTTGTAATATTGGATCATTTTCTGGATTGGCGGTGCTAAATTGCCTCTTGTTGTGAATGTGTGTGTGTGTGCTTGGTGCCCTGCCACAGACCGATGTCCCATTCAGGGTGTCTCTCACAACCAGTGTTCCTGTGCTCCTGATCCACCATAGGAAGACCAAGTGAATGTAGATGAATGAATGAATTAATTCATTTGTAAATTCATTCATTCATTCATTCATTCATTAATGAACATACAGGATGTATGAATAAAATCATTATTGCAAATACACTTCAACTGCAATCAATACATTCATAAATCATAAATGCAATCATGCAATCATAAATATAAACAAGCATGTGATACAGCTGGTACCTGACACTTTGATTATGAAACACGTTCGCGTGTAACCGTGCCGATGCCAGTGTCACTGTCCAGAGTATTTGTTTGGTGGTTTCTATTTTTTCACCCAAAAAATCTTCAGTCATCAGTTGATTTGTTTATGCTTGGCTTAATCAATAATACTGCTGAGCCTAGGATTATCGTAATTGAGGCAGGGTAGTCTTAAAGCGGTGTCATAAAGAGGTGAAGGTGAAGAGGGTTCACAGGGTGCCAAGATTATCAATCACCTGACAAGGCTCTTCAACGTTCTTCTGGTGCCTAGATAGTGGTGTCATAATATATGTCATTAAACACGGTGTGTGCCCTGGTGTCAGAATCACTGTTTCTTCACTGTGCAGTGTGTTCTTGGGGGACATGTTGTCCTGTCCTGAGATCAGACTGTATGTCAAAGCATGGATCAAATCCACATTAGTGCATTTACTAAGAAACCCTGAAAACCAGCTAGTGCTGTTGTCCTATTTAGTGTCACACATTTCACTTTGGTTCTTTGTTCTCTTTATGTAAAAGATGTTTAT